AGCCCACAGGTCCAATTACTTGCTCCCTCTGGGTAGCTGGCTGTGGCAAAGAAGTGACTACAGCCTTGTCCCTTGTCAGCTCTACTATATACCTGGGAATTCTTACAGAACATACAAATACACTTATAGAAACATTGTCTGCCAACTCTATACATGGTCATGGGCACACCTAATAGTTCGTCCTGTCCACCCATCTATCCATCACTTTGTTTGCCATCACTGACAACACAGAACCGTATGTGCAAAAGGGTTCATCTTTGTTGTCTGTAACTCCTATGCACCTCTCTATGTCTTCCTCTTCTTCAGTGCCATCGCGTTGATTGCTCGCATTTGATACATTGCCCTTCTCTTCACCCAAATCAGTATTTGTCTCTACCTATCTAGCAATGTTACCTTCCTTCCCCTCCCACCTCTGGTAACCAACAAAGGAAATTTCCTTCCACATATAAACCTTTCCTTGACTTTTTACAATAACAGACTAATAGAATATTTGTCCTTCTGTGATTGACTTATTTCAGTCAGCATTATGTCCTCCATTTTCTCACTGTTTTTGCTAAATGTGTAGCTATCGCTCTGATAATAAATTTCTATACTTTAGAAAGTGAGACCAGAGTTCCTAATGATATCTTAACACTTAGTTTATTAATTATGTGGTAATAATTAAAACACATGATACTAGTTCTTATTTCTTAAAGGTCTCTAAAATGCTTTGCTATTCTCATGTGTTTATTACTTTAAGGAGGGACTTACTTCTGGTTAATATTTTGACTCTTTCCTAAGCCACGGTACAAATAAGTACCACTTACATTATCCACTTCGGAGGTTTTCTGGGAGGATTTTTTCCCCCCAGCACAGAGTTTATGTGCTGGCATTGGCATGGGGACATGCATAACTACATAAAACAGAGGGAAGTTTGTCAGTGACATACTGTATGAAGTGGTGCATCCTGGAGGATAATTGTGTGAAACGTGTGTCTCTTTGGGCTTCTATACAGCGAGATAAGGGTTGTGAGTGTATTTATCGTTTTCTGTGTGTTATTGGGGTGCAGTATTCATGATTAATATGCAACTGAATATTTTTTCCGTGCTTCATCCCATCTATCCTACCATTAAAGTCCATTGGGACATATTTGTCCCATATAACATACATCAAAAGCCATCATACCTAACAAAAATTTTAAAATATTCAATGATTAAACATGTATTCCATTAGCCCCTCCATCCCCCCAAAAAAAACTTAAAAACAAAAATTAACTCAGTTGTGAAAGGGTTATTGAATCACTTATATGTAGCTGAACTTCATTTTAAAAGGGAAATTACTTACTCACGTTTATTGTCTTTTCAGTTCTGATTATGTAGCTGTGTCAGGTAAAGCTTTATATTCAGTTTAAGATTTTTACCTGGGATTTGATATTACAAGTTTTTGCCTATTACTGGGAGACTCAGCACACTGATAGGTCCCCCCATACCCTATACTCAACAGAGGAGTTAACTCTCAATTTGAGAATTACTTGCTGAAGCTGCTAAATTCCTCAGAAAACATCTGCTTTATCTTGAGCTAATCATGGTAGATTAAGTTCACATGAACAGTAAAATTCTTGATATAGTGGGCTCTGTAAGCTTTCCATTACCTGGATTTTTGACTCATTGATCATATCCTTGGTATTTTAAGGAATGTTGTTGTTGTTGTTGTTGTTGTTATGTGCCGTCGAGTCAAACCTGACTCATAGCGACCCCTCCTTGGGTTTCCGAGGCAGTATCACTACGGAAGTAGGATTGCCCAACCTTCCTTCCGAGGAGTGGCT